GGGCGCGGTGGCTCAAGCCTGTAATCCCAGCACTTTGGGAGGCCGAGGCGGGTGGATCACGAGGTCAAGAGATCAAGACCATCCTGGTCAACATGGTGAAACCCCATCTCTACTAAAAATACAAAAAATTAGCTGGGCATGGTGGCGTGTGCCTGTAATCCCAGCTACTCAGGAGGCTGAGGCAGGAGAATTGCCTGAACCCAGGAGGCGGAGGTTGCGGCGAGCCGAGATCGCGCCATTGAACTCCAGCCTGGGTAACAAGAGCGAAACTCCATCTAAAAAAAAAAAAAAAAAAAAAAATTGAGAAACCTGAACATGGAATATGAAACTTACTGGATACTATCAAGTAGACCAATAATTGCTTTCTTTTCCCCTTTTTCTTTTTTTAAATTTATTTTCTCAAGTAGACCAATCTTTTCATTAAGAAAGTATTTGAAGAAGGAAGCAAAAAGTAGTAGAGATGTTACCTGAAGAGAAAAGGGGATCAGTGAGAAATTTACTTTAAAAATAAGAAAAAACAAAAAAACAAAAAAAATGGGCACTGCAGCTCACGCCTGTAATCCCAGCACTTTGGGAGGCCGAGGTGGGCAGATCACAAGGTCGGAAGTTTGACACCAGCCTAACCAAAATGGTGAAACCCCGTGTCTACCAAAAATATGAAAATTAGCCAGGTGTGGTGGTGCATGCCTATAATCACAGCTACTCAGGATGCTAAGGCAGAGGCTGCAGTGAGCCAAGACTGCACCACTGCACTCTAGCCTGGGTAACAGTGCGAGACTCCATCTCAAGAAAAAGAAAAAATAAATAAAGACATTCTATAATTTAAAAAATCTAAAGGTGTTTATTACCCCTAGAAAAGTCTTACAAGAAATACTACATGGAGTACATTACACTGGCAGACATGGTGGTTCACACTTGTAATCCTAGAAACTTGGTAGGCTGATGCAGAAGAATCACTTAAAGCCAGCAGTTTAAGATATGGGTGATACGCTGAGACCCCTTCTTGAAGAAGAAACCTTTATAATAATTTTGTTTTTCAAGTAGAGCGTATTTAAAATTTGCTAAAGCCGAAGTCTGACTGGAGTCATTTTGAGAAGGCACACCTTCATTCATGCAGCAAACTTGAAAACCCTTGATCTCGGCTAAAGAATAGTAAGTGATTCACCTACCTTGCGCCACTTAAAATTCTGCAGTGACTATAATTAACTACAGCTCCTTCCAGCCATGGTCTAGCAGTGGTACCTGCACATGTGGAGATCTGGAGGGAGATGCCTATTTGTAATTATAGAGGTAGGCCTGCAGACCTTATTTTTACTGTGGTCTCTGAAAGAATTCAGTAACTCAGTTTCCACACTTTTAGCCACAGTCTATGGCCAGTTTTGCTCACCTAGAAGCCCACAGAGTGACCTACAAAAATCCTGTCAGGTACTCAGTAAGCTCACCCTCATCCACACACCTCATATTAGGCCCACCAGATGTTAACCTAACTGCCGCTGGCCCTGCAAATCAAAGTCCTGAAAGCAGTCCAGTCTACCAAGAAATAAGACAGGATTAACAACTATCCAGGCTATGGGTAACTACACACTAAAGACAAACTCCAAAACAGCCATGTGACCTATGTACAACCCCTCTCTGCTGCAAATCCAGAAGAGATCCTATTAGCCAATCAAAAGGTGATCTTACCTGCTGAAACCAGTCTATAAAACTGGAAGAGGTGTTTGCTCTTTCAGTTGCACAAAAACCAATACAGGGGTACATTATGTCTATTTTTAATGCTTCTGTTTTAACATAGTACTGGTAGTCCTAGGCAGAACAATTAGGCAAGAAAATTTTTGAAAAGACATCCAGCCAGATGCAGTGGCTCATGTCTGTAATCCCAGCACTTTGGGAGACTGAGGTGGGAGGATCGATTAGCCAGGTATGGAAAATGCACACCTATACTGTCAGATACTTGGGAGGCTAAGATAGGAGAACTGTTTGAGCCCAAGGGCTAAGGCTGCAGTGATCCATGATTACACCACTGCACTCTAGTCTGAGTGGCAGAATGACACCTTGTCTCAATGGGAAAAAAGGCATCCAAACTGAAAGGAAAGCTGTGAAAATGTCAGTTTTTAGATGGCATTATATTATACATAGAAAACCATGAATAGTATACCAAAAGACTTTTTCAGCTAATAAACACGCTTGGTAAATTAGAGAAATATAAAATTAACATACAAATCATTTGTATTTCCATACGCTAACAACAAACTGCCAAATAAAAAAGTAAAACTAATAATCTCACTGAAATAGCATTAATAATAAATTTCTTAGCAATATATTTAACCAGGGTGAAAAATCTTTCTATTGAAATATTTAAGATATTAATAAAAAAATTGAAGATGACACAAATAAATGCAAAAATATTTCATGTTTATGGATTAAGAAGATAAATATTGTGTCAAATTATTTAAAGTAATCTATAGATTTAATACATGCCTTATCAAAATTCCAGTAACATTTTTTAATCTAACAGAATATGCAATCCTGAAATTTATATGAAACTACGAAAGATTTGCTTTGAATAGCCAAGGCAGTTTTAGGAATAAGAACCAGGGGGCATTATACTTTTTGATTTCAAACTATATTTGAAGACTACTGTAATAAAAACAGGATGGTCTGTGCGTAACAGTGCATACCATAATCAATGGAACAGAATGGAGAGCCCAAACAAATCCATCTATATAAATATAAGATCGACTTATCCTTAATGGTAAAGCACTGAGAATATGCAATGCAGAAAATATAGTCTCTCCCATACTTGTTTCTGGGAAAACTAAATACCCACATGTAAAAAAATAAAATTAGACCATTTTTCTGATGCTGTATTTGAAAATTAACTAAATATAAAATGAAGACTCTAATGTAAGACATAAATCCCTACAAGTTTTTAAAGAAAACACATGAAGAAACTTTAATATTCGTCTGGAAAATTAATTTCTGGATACAACAGCAAAAGTGCAATTAAAGCAAATACAAATGAGTTGGACTGCATCAAGCTAAAAAGCTTCTGCACAACCAAGAGAACAACAAAATAAGAAAACTATATCCGGTAAGTTGTTAGTATCCAAAATATTTAAGAAACTCATATGAATCAAAGGCAAAAATTATAATAATAATTGTAATAATAATAACAAGACTGAAAAATAAGCCAAAGACTCTATCGATGATTTTCAATGAAAACATACAATTGGCCAACAGGCATAGAGAAAGGTGCTCAGTATCACCAATCTGGCAGTTGCAAATTAAAACCATGGTGAGATACTACTTCACACACATTAGAATGGCTACTATCAAAAATAAAAGTTATAACAAGTATTAACGAGTATTTTTTTTTAAATGCTGTACATTCCTGGTGACTTGCAATGTTTTAGTGTCATGATGAAAACTGCTCTAAAGGTTCTTTAAAAGAATTTAACAGTACTACTATATAATCCAGCTATCTCATTTCTGCATATACAATAAATTTAGTATTTCAAATAAACATCTGTACCTCCATGTCCCTTGAATCATTATTTACAATTGCCAAGATATGAAATAAACCTAAAATGTTTCTGTATACTGAGTAAAGAAAACATGCTATATACACTAAATAGAATATGATTCATCCCTAAAAAATAATAAAACCTTACCATTTTGACATGTATAGACCCAGATAACATTATGCTAAGTGAAATATGCCAGACACAGAAAGACAAATACTGTATGATCTACTTTTACGAAGAAAATAAAAATGTTGAACTCCTAGAAGCAGAGAGTATAAAGATGGGTGGTAGGGCCTGGCTGGAGGCAGGGAAAATGAGAGATGCTGTTCAAATGGTATGAATTACTAATTATAAAACAAGTTATTGTGACCTAATATACAGCTTTATCACTATAGTTTATGTATGCTGAAAATTTGCTTACAGATCTTATTTGTTCTCACTACACAAAAGGTAACTATGTAAGGTGACAGATATGTTTATTCATTAATTTGATTGTATTAACCATCTCACTATGTATATACATATAAAGTCAATACATTATATACAATAAATACAGGTATTCAGTTATTATTTGTGAAAACATCCACATGTTACAAATACCTACATATATACACTTGTACATATATGTACTTGCATGTTACACACACACATATTATATATATGAATGACACAGTCCTGGTAAGCCTCATCCGAAAACAATATTGTAAAATTACAGTCATTTAAAAATAAAGTTAAAATTGAAGTTTAATATATGCTCAGCAATATTTTAAGCTCCTCAATGGCATAGTCTGTTTGATAAATGTATGAAGCTGATACACTGAACTATATTACAGTTGAGGCATTTTGGGGACACAGTTTAATTTACCAATATTAGTTTATATAAAACATATAACATTTTCAAGTAACATAATTTTACACTTTCTTATATTTAGGGACATGCTTAGTGTTTTGTAAAATTACTGATTATAAATTTCTATAAAATCCAATTTGAAACCCCTGTAGGACAGAAAATTATAAAGGGGAAACATTCATCTTTCTGTGGTGTTCCTGGGATTTCTGAACCAAATCCCAGTATCACCAAAACTCTCATATATTTTAGACATTATCCAAAACCAACCTTAAAAATTCTTTAACACCAGTTTGTCAAAATACAGATATTACTATTTCTCCCAAAGCAATGGAAGTGCATTCAGATCACACATTCTTTTAAGTTATGAGTAAAACTATCACTATAAACTAAAAAACAAGCAAGCAAACAAAAACCATAACTGAAGGGGAAGTACAGTGCTTAGAAAGTTAATGAGAATGAGACAATCACATCATGAGATGCCCTGATGTGAAAGCAAGAGAAAGAAATGCAGGTTACTCAGAAGCGATTTCACTGATGGAGAGCCTCTCAAACCATGTTTCAGTCTGGCTCCCTCCTTGACACAGGAAACTCTCATTTGTCTCATTTGCCTCATTCGCTCCACTTACCTGGGTATTTGGCTACTGTTTCCTGTCTCTTCACATTCCAGAGCTCTTTTTCTTGCTCCAGATGGGTGATCAAGTCTGGCTTCGTGACAGCAAGACCTGTTTTATTAAAAAAGGAACATAACTCTTGCTAGACCAGTCTAATTACCAATCTAGTACTGTGCTCAGTATACAAGAGAGAATAGTATAGAAGATTCTAGAAAATTAACCTCAATATACTGTTTCCTAATAGGAACTTTAGGATATTTAGAAAGTATTTTGAATTTTTGGGTTCATAGCTCTACTACTCAGTAATACTTAATGACAAATTGGTGGTGAAACTTGATTTTAAGGTGCGGGCAACAATATGCCACTAAATTTCTGATATTACCACTAATTTACACTGACGTATACAAATCAGCTCAAAAAAGGGAAAGATTATTAAGATGAAACATCTTGAAAAATGTATCTTCTACCTCAACAGATAACTGTTCTCTTTTTTTTCTTAAGCAGTATTCTGAAACTCATTCATGCAAAGCAGAAACCCCCAGAAAACAGAAGAAAACAAATTGTGTGGAAGGTGAATTGTATATTGAAGTTATTCTCACCCAGGAACACCAGGTTTCTGTAGTTCTCTAACATCACATCCCCATACAAATGCTGCTGGGCAGAATCAAGGCATTCCCACTCCTCTGGAGAGAATTCTATGGCCACATCCCTGAATGTCAACACGCCCTGAAAAACAACATATTTAGCAAGTGGTCATAGAAAGAATTACCGATTTTACATTACGTAAACTGAGAATAAAGAGAACTGGTTCTGACTTATGTGAGTGACTGGAATTATCCCATAAGATAATTTCTTTCTTTCTTTCTTTCTTTTGAGACAGAATTTTGTTCCTGTTGCCCAGGCTGGAGTGCAATGGCATGATCTCAGCTCACTGCAACCTCTGCCTCCCGGGTTCAAGTGATTTTCCTGCTTCAGCCTCCCTACCTCTGATCGAGGCCCCCCCAAAAAAAATTTTTTTTGAGGTATCGGAAACTAAACAGTGTATTGTCTCTTTCCTCACTGATATCCAAGGACCTGATCCCACCTCAAACAGGAATTTTGGGCATCCACAACTTCTCGTGTTCAATAGCCTCAAAAGAAACATTTGTAATGTTGCAGTCTCATAAATTCATGGTGACGACTTTTCTTGGCTTACTAGACACTGAGATGTAGAGAACAGAGAGCAGGCTCTGATATATAAAAAAGAAGTATTTCTCAAAGTCCCTTGACTACCATAAGAAAAAAAAAAAAGAGGAGAAAATAGTTGAAACAAACTGATTAGGCAGGAACATCACACGTAGAGAAGTAAACATTTGCAAGTTCTTCAGACATGACATTTCAGAAGTAAAAGTGGACACCGTCCCTGACCTGAGACACATTCACCTCCGAATAGGCCAGTTCTCCCATTTTTTCCCTCCTTCTGTGTAATACCTTGCCATGTGTGATAGTCTTCACAAATTACACCTGCACCTTGAAAATATGGCTTTGCAGCATCAGCAAAAATTCTTCCCCTATATCACCAAACCCAAACCGAAAATTGCAGATCAAGTCTACCTTTTTCTATCCTTTATCACAGGAGCGGTTCACAAACAATAAACTCTTATAAAACCCAAAATATGAGCTAGCTTCCCCTTTCCAACAATTAGATGTTCTTCTCTGCCAGAGATGCCAGCAATTTCTTCCGCTGAATGGGAATATGGACCACCCTGACCAGCCCTTTAGAGGTGTGAGCCACTGAGCTCACCATTCCAGAAATGAAATTGTGGAAGAATAAAGGTCACTACAGCAGGCTTCCCGTCCTGATCCACAGGCCTGGGGAGGATGCATGACTATGCTGACCCCAAAGGTCTCCAGGAGAGACTGCCCGGCTTCACCTACACCTATTGGTTCTGTTCTCCAATCTTGCTTCACTAAGAGAAGCTGTCCCATGTGGAGGTCAACAGCACTGCCAGGCGGACATGGATTTGAGTTCCGCCACACCACAAGAATGCTGTGCAACCCTGCAGCCTGCAACAGAGAGTAAAAGAGGAGGCTCCACCAGAGGTAACACCGGGGGAGCTGGGTCCTGGAGGGAACGACGGGCATGGGCACAGGAAAGGGTTCCAGGAAGGTCGTGTGCAGCCACATAGAGGACAGGTGGGGTGGAAACAGAACAGGGCCCAGGCAGAAGGGGAGCTGATCCCAGCCCTTCTTCCTGAAAATGCTGCTTAGGAGCAAAAGCAGCCCCTGCCTTCAAGCAGCCCTCCCAGCTGCTGACCTGTGTCCCCTGATCACTTCTCCAGGGCATCTCAAAGAACAGTCCCATCCTGTTCCATCGGTTTCCTCTGTCAGACCCATCAGCAGTCTCCCTGGAGAGCATGGGATAGCAGTCACCCGAGACTCAGGGAACCGAAGGGGGCTCAATGACTCAGCAGTAAGTGCCTTCTGCATGGAAGGAGTACCCACCACCTCACAGGAGGGCCCACTTCCCACAGTCTCCTAACTTTCCAATTGTACTCTGAGCCTTCCCAACATTTCTTTGCTGCATCAGCCACTCTTCGACTCCAATGTTCCTGCCATCTTCTGTGGCCTCGCTTGCCATCCCCTAATGGAGCATGCTGCCCGGGACTCAGGTCAGGATGGGTCTGGCCTCGTGCTGGTTTGGTCCTTGCCATGGGTGGTGGGTCCCTGACGAGGACACTAAGATCCTTCGCACTGGGCCAGGTCAGCACCGCGCCACCATCCTCCTCATCGCTGCAGGTGGCAGCGTCAGCCTCCCAGTACGCTGTTCTTTTTCTGGTCCCTCTCAACATCAGGCACCCCTTGAGACTCCCAGATCCCACAGTGAGCAGAAAGATGACTGCTGCCACCACGGAGCATCACAGTCTGGTCTGGGCACCAACGCCAGTGAGCTGGCACATGTACCAGCACAGAAGAGCAAACCCCTGGGCAGGGGTGGCAAGGACTAGGACAGGGACCACACCTCTGTCCTAATGGGAGGCCACCTTCCACCTGAGGCTCCCAGCCCCCTGCTTGTCCCGCACATGCCTCTGCAGAGCCTGGCCCAGTCTTCTCGCAAATGGCCCTGCCTTTACCCACTTCCCTACTGCACCACGGCCACGGAAACTCCTTTGTTCAGAAAGGCTCTTTGGGGTGTGCAATGCAGGCTAAGGTCCCAGCCATTGGCCCAGTCCTAAAAGTGCTCCCTGGCCATCTCCTCCCTTGCTGGGCTGGAGGATTTCAGTACACACACACACACACACACACGCACACACTCGTGTACATGGACTCACCCAAATACACACTCACACATACTTCACTCAAGCCTCACCTTCTCCCAGCCGGCAGAGCTCTACTGAACATACCAGGCACCTTTCCCCCCTTGTCCTGGCTCTAAGTAATCAGCAGGTGACTTCATTGTGGTGAGTACATCCTAAAGTGAACTTACACACATCTAGACAACAGCTCTGCTCCACATCTGGGCTATGTGGTCTAGTGCCAGGTCTGTCCCGCAGATCCTGGCCGACGGATGAAATAAGTGCTCAGACACAAGTATGCAGTATGAGAGTAACCCGGAGAAGATGGAGCTGCTATTTTTTATTCAGTGCAGGCATAATGCTGAGAAAGTCTGGAGCGAACACAGCCTGTAGGTAATTAACATTAATTGTTCCCTTTTTATGGAACTCCAGGCACACAGATGATCAAAGGTCAGTTCCCAGTCAACATAAGTAAACAAGCCTGTTTAGGATATATTCCCTTTCATTCCCTTTGACCTACTCCTTCCCCTCAGTCTCAGGGTTATAGGACAGCTGCCTTCAGCCATTCTCCCCCGGAGGGCTCTGCGGAACCTTCCAACTTTTCAGAAAGTTTGTGTCCTTTCCCTGTAGTTTTTCCCACCACTCTGACCACCAATCCACCACAGTCCATCCTACTGCCCCCAGGCGACAAATCTGGGCAGTATGCACGGTACTGAATATTGCAGGCAACTATAACACAGTGCTAAGCCTCTGTGTATCTAAACACATCTAAACATAGAAAAAGGTGCAGGAAAAATACAGCATTCTAATCTTACGGGACCACCGCACTACATGCGGTCCATCGTGGTTACGCGGTGCGTGACTGTATTCCCTGTGCAGGGGCCTCTGCCCTTTGCAGGCCAGCCCCCCTCCTCTAAGATGCTCCTAGGTTTCCCCAATTCAAGCAAGTCTCTCCTGCCCACACGCTTCCAAAACCGCGAGCTTAGACAAGGGATCCTTCTTGAAGCTGGTTTGACAGAAAAGTCGGCTGTGATGACTGGCCCCTCACCTCTCACTATGTTCTTAATGCCTGGAAGGTGGAGGGGTCATGCTGTGCCCTCCTGGAAGCAAGCCTGCAGTAAATATCTGTTGAGGGGATGGGTAAGATTCAGAAGTTGAGGGACGTGGGTGGTGGCTGAGTTCAGAGAGGTGCTGTCAGCAGGGGAGAGCAAAGAGACACAGCTCCACTGCTCAGCAGCAGTGAGGACAAGCTAGCAAACCTCCCTGTGCCTCAGTGTCCCCATCTGTAAAGTTGCAATAAGATCACCCAGCCTGAGGATTTGTGTAAGAAGTAAATGAGAATGTGCAGGTGAACCACACTCTGCAATGGGGAGCCATTATTTCATCTCTTATTATGGCTATTATTTTATCATTATAGAGACAGAGGGACAGGCTGTACTTACAAAGAATGGTGGTGGGTGGGGAAGGAAAAAAGGCAAGGCTGTGAATTGATTAAGTGTGTTGCAGGCATAAAATCACAGTTTTTATATCCTGCCCTGTCAAATAATCTTTGTCAACCAAGAAAGTATATAATACTTCACCAAATGTTGGCTATACTGCAGTACATATGTTACCCATTTTCTCTCTCAACTCCTCAGCTAAGCAGCTTCCAACATCTAGGATAGAACAGTATTTCAGGCCAGTAATGGTGGTGGCTCATGCCTGTAATCCCAACACTTTGGAGATCAAGGCAGGAGGATCCCTTGAGTTCAGGAATTCAAGACAAGCCTGGATAACACAGCAAGACCCTATCTGTACAAAAATTAAATAAATTAGGTCGGGTGCGGTGGCTCACGCCTGTAATCCCAGCACATTGGGAGGCCAAAGTGGGTGGATCACCTGAGGTCAGGGGTTCGAGACCAGCCTGGCCAATATGGTAAAACCCTGTCTCTACTAAAAATACAAGAAATTAGCTGGGCATGGTGGCATGTGCCTGTAGTCCCAGCTATGCAGGAGGTTGAGGCAGGAGAATCACTTGAACCTGAGAGGCAGAGATTATAATGAGCCAAGATTACACCACTGCACTCCAGCCTGGGTGACAAGAGTGAAACTCTGTCTACAAAAGAAAAAAAAAGAAATTAGCTGGGTGTGGTGGTGTGCACCTGTAGTCCCAGCTACTCAGAAGGCTGAGATGGGAGCATGGCTTGAACCCAGGAGTTCAAAGCTGCAGTGAACTATGATGGCACCACCGCACACAAGCCTGGATAACAGAGACATTGTCTCTAAAACTAAAAAAACAGTATTTCACCAATTCTTAGTCTCAGTTGTCATTTTTTTAATGTACAATTTTACACACAGCAGGTAGGAACACACCTGTAAAAACCCTCTTACGTGGTTGTGAATTAAAGGATGTTTTCTAGCAGCTAAGAGTCAACAACAATGAATTTAATCAATAAAGTCAACTGACTATGA